GGATGGCATGCATCGCAACGCATTAGCCCAGGGCTCGGAATTGTTTCGGTGGGAAAAATCAAAGACGGAGCACCATAAATCTCCAGCAGGCCGCAGTCAGTGAGTCAAAAGTCAGATGCATTTCATTTGCAGCGTGTGACATGTTGATGAGATAATAATTCAAATCATCTGTGAGAAAGTTCGCCGGCTTTCATCTTCAGAGCCTCGGAGAGATCCGAGATGAGTCGGGTTTTATTCCTTTCACATGCGACACTTCACGTGTTTACGGCAAAACAGGAGCTGATAGAAATCACAAGTGATTCTATTGACTTTCAGAATAAATGATGATTCATTAGTGTGAGTTATTATAAAGAATTCAAGTTTGTAAATAGGTCAATATTGTTGCTTATTTTTATGTAGTATATTGGTTAATAAAAACTAACATTTTAATTGTATAATTAAATATTATTACATATAAAATACTATTAAATATTTATATTCAATATTCTTATATATTATAAAATAATATTACATAATAATACTAATATTACTACTACTAATAAATTGTTTTATTTTAAATTAAATATTTATTTATTTTTAAATTATTTTTATTTTTAATTTTATTATTAAATATTTATGAAAAATAGCATTAAACATATATTAAATATTTGATTTAATATTATTAGATTATTATTGACAATAATAATAATAAACAATTTACTTTTAATTATATTAAATAAATTATTTTATTATTTTTAATTGTATTAAATATTAGTAATTTTACATTTATAAAAAATATTATTAAACAATTATAAGTTCAATATTTATATTTAATACTAATACATTATAACTGAATAATATAAAAAAATAATAATACGTTTAAACACTACAATGGACTACAATCATTCATTACAATGTAACAAATTTCTGAAAACGACTTTTCTGCTGATGAAATCAAGGCTATATAATATTAACCATTCCAATAATATTAACATGGACTCATTTCACTGGAGACAGTAACAAATTACATAGCAACCATCCAGCAACAGTGTAGCAACACCCCGGCAACCATAAAGGAAGATTCTAGAATCCCGGTGGTGGATTTTCCAAACACACCACATACATTTCTTCACGTAATGTAAACATTTAGTTATGAATCATGCAGACAACACTAGCATAACATTCAAATAATGGCCAAATAAATGACTGTTCTCCCCTTCAGCAACACTGCACCCTCTGTGCTCATTAATGCTTACCCACAATCCCCTGCTCTCACTGGCCACGCTCACTTCCTGCAATTACACGAGCGGAAGGCGGGGTCAAAGGTCGGCCAATGCAGCTCAGACTGCAGACAGACGCGCAGCCACAACAAACACACTCGTGGCTAACTGATATAACCATATAACTCACAATAGAGTGGCTTTCGTTGGAAATTCAATCAAATGAAGACTAAAGCATATTATACTGATTTCTGAAGATCATGTGACACTGAAGACTGGAGGAATGATGCTGAAAATCACAGAAATAAATTACAGTTCAACAGATATTCACATAGAAAGCAGTTATTTTAAATAGTAAAAATATTTCACAATATTACTGCTTTTACTGTATATAAATACAGCAAGAGCAGTAATATTGTGAAATATCTTACTGTTCAAAAACGTTTGACTGGTAGTGTATGAAATAACAATAAGTAATGGTCATTTTTGCGCTGCATTTTCACATTATGCTACGTTTCTATGCCATTCTTATGTGTAAATAACATAAAGCAGGTCTAAAAGTTCACGTCAAGTTTCTGAGAACGATCTGAGCTCATTATTCGGACTCTAAACTCTGACCTCTGCAGCTCCAGGCTGGAAATTCACCTTGATGAAGGAATCTCACACGCCTCCGTGCTCCAGGAACATCAGAAGCTTGTTAAATTCTCCCAGAAGCCCTTGGGGTATGCAGATCCAGAGCACAAAGGCGCAGTGTTCGGCGGCGTTCGCGCGCACAATAGCCACATTAAACGTCTGAGAGATGTTGGGAAACAAAGCCGACGGTTTTAATGAGATAAGAATCTACAGGAACAAACACACGTCACAGCTCGACAAGTGCTGCAAATCACGCTGAAGCGCATCGTGCAAAAAAGAGTTGATTCTGAGAGACGGATGGGCCAGTTAGTGTTAAACTGCTCATGCTAAACAATCAATAATACTCAACACAACTGAGATCTGAACTGCACACGTTCAGCCGACTAACTGAAGACAGCATTCCACTTTTCTACGTTTTTCAACATTACTCTTAATAAATAATGCTCATTTTTGGGGGGGAATATTTGGGGTATTAAAATAATATTTAAATATTGTAAATATTTATTTCCATAAATGTAAACATTGTGTAAATACGTGTTCATTTACATTCAGCACCTAAATTTAAATGTAATATTAAAATAAATGAAATTTATTTATACATTTTAATATTAATAAATATTAATAAAATTAATAAATTAAACTTAATTATAAAATGTATTTTATACAATAAAAATTAATACAATTAAATTTGTTTTGTTAAAAACATTTTAATTTTTTTATATTTTAATAATAATAATAATTATTATTATTATTTATTAATACTTTTTAAATAATAATTAATATTATTATGTAGTCACATATATAAATCAC